GGGCTGAAGCAATCAATACTGCATGCTACACCCAGAACAGGAGCATGATTCACAAAACTCATCAGAAAACTCCCTATGAACTATGGAAAGGACGAAAACCCAACATCAGCTACTTTCATGCATTTGGATGCAAATGCTATATACTCAACAATGGGAAGGATCACCTCAAAGTGTTTCAAGAAAAAGCTGATGAAGGAACATTCTTAGGCTACTCTGGCACCAGTAAAGCCTACAGAATACTCAACAAAAGAACTCTACTTGTTGAAGAATCGATTCATGTCAAGTTTGATGATCTCAACTCTGTTGAGAGCATAACTGAAAACTTGGAGAAAGCGAATCTCGAAGAATCTCCAGAACTGGATCCACCAGAGACGGATACACCAGAGTTGCTAACTAACTCTGCCATACCAATTCACCATCAGAATCCCATTCTACAAGGCAAAGAGAGTGATGAAGAATCAGAAGAAGATCAAGAGAATCCAAGACAACCCCTATCTGAACCTGATCTAACTTGGTTAAGAGATCATCCTCCTAATCAAGTGATTGGACAAATCAGAAGTGGAGTCCAGACCAGATCCACATCAAGGAGAGAAGCAATGCTTGCCTGCTACATATCTCAGATGGAACCTATGACAGTTGAAGAAGCTGTTGCAGACTCAGACTGGATCAATGCTATGCAAGAAGAACTCACTCAGTTTGAAAGGAACAAAGTGTGGGAACTTGTCCCTAGGCCAAAGCACCAGAATGTCATTGGAACCAAATGGGTATTCAAGAACAAAGCAGATGAAGACGGTAACATTGTAAGGAATAAAGCTAGGCTGATAGCCAAGGGATACTGCCAAGAAGAAGGAATAGATTTTGATGAGACTTTTGCACCAGTTGCCAGACTTGAAGCCATCAGAATCTTTCTAGCCTATGCTGCCTACAACAACATCAAGGTCTACCAAATGGATGTCAAGAGTGCATTTCTGAATGGAGATCTTGAAGAGGAAGTTTATGTGGAACAACCACCAGGTTTTGTCATTCCTACTCCCAGAGCCTGGTATGACAGACTCTTGAAAAGAAGGGACGTCTCAAATTAGATGGAGTAAGTGAAGTGGAGATACTTCAAGAGACTCAGTGAAACGAGACCAGCCATCAGGAAGCAGGACTGCATCCCGGGTGGCAACTAGACTTGAAGAAGACGAGGAGTGCTTCTTAAGCTCTAGGGACTAAGGCGTTGTAAACTGTTGTTTTTGCAAGCTTAGTGGAACAGTGGACTAGAGGAACGAGTTGTTCCTTGAACCACTATAAAAACCCCGGTGTCATTTACTTTCAGCTTTTATTTTCTGCACTTAAGATTCTACTGACTAACTCTTAAGGTTGGACTCTGTGTCCAGCAGATCTTCCTTTAGCGTTATCAGAAAGGCAGTTTGCCTTAGCTTTCTTCTAGAGGCTACCCGGACAGAAACTTATCCGCTGCCTGGTCTAGTTCTGCCATCAGAACTTGACCATCTCTGTCACCAGATTTCGACCATCTCTGATAAGTCAGACTTGACTTAGAGAAAAGTTTAAATTCCTGAACAGTCTATTCACCCCCCCTCTAGACTGTTCCCATTACAAACGGGACCAACACTTGTGTTGTCACAGAAAAGCTTGATCTCCTTTGCTTGAATGTTATAATCCTTCAGTTGTTGCTTCATCCATAGTAGCTGAGCACAGCAACTCCCAGCTGCAATGTATTCAGCTTCTGCTGTACTCGTTGAGATATAGTTCTGCTTCTTGCTAAACCAGGAGACAAGTCTCCCACCTAGCAATTGGCAATGACCAGAGGTGCTCTTCATGTCTAACCTTCAACCTGCAAAATCTGAGTCAGAGTAACCAATTAGTTCAAAGTTACCTCCCTTGGGATACCATAGGCCTGCATTTGGATTTCCTTTGATGTATCTGATGATTCTTTTTGCCGCACTTAGATGGCTCTCCTTGGGCTTTGACTGGTATCTGGCACAGATTCCAACAGAAAAGGATATATCTGGTCTGCTTGCAGTTAGGTATAACAGAGATCCAATGATTCATCTGTAGGTTGTTGCATCAACATCTTTGCCTTCATCATCTGGTCCAATTCCTTGAGAAGTGTTCATGGGAATGTTCACTGAGGATTTGCCTTCTACTCCAAACTTCTTGATCAGGTCTCTGGTGTACTTCCCTTGGTTGATAAAGATTCCTTCTGGAACTTGTTTCACTTGTAGTCCAAGGAAGTAGCCGAGTTCTCCCATCATACTCATTTCAAACTCACTCAGTATAACTTGAGAAAATTTCTTGCATAATTCTGCATTAGTACTTCCAAATATAATATCATCAACATATATTTGTACTAACAGAATATGATTAGAAACAGAGATTTGAAATAATGTTTTGTCAACCTTTCCCTAAGTAAACCCATGGTTCACTAGGAATAGGGACAATGTGTCATACCACGCTCTGGGAGCTTGCTTAAGACCATAGAGGGCCTTTCTAAGCTTGTAGACACACGAAGATTGAGTAGAAGTGATAAAACCTGGTGGTTGTTCCACATAAACTTCTTCTTCAAGTTCTCCATTCAGGAATGCACTCTTGACATCCATCTGGTAGACCTTGATTTTGTTGTAGGCAGCATAGGCTAGGAATATTCTGATGGCTTCAAGTCTGGCAACTGGTGCAAAAGTCTCATCAAAATCTATTCCTTCTTCTTGGAAGTATCCCTTGGCTACCAGCCTTGCTTTATTCCTTACAATGTTGCCATCTTCATCTGCTTTGTTTTTGAATACCCATTTGGTTCCAATGACATTCTGGTGCTTTGGTCTAGGAACAAGTTCCCATACTTTGTTCTCTCAAATTGAGTGAGCTCTTCTTGCATTGCATTGATCCAATCTGAGTCTGCAAGAGCTTCTTCTGCAGTCATAGGTTCCATATGAGATATATAGCAAGCAAACATTGCTTCTCTTCTTGTTGATTTGTCCAATCACTTGGTTAGGAGGATGATCTCTTAACCATGTCAGATCAGGTTCTGTCAGTTTTTGTCTTGGTTTCTCTGGTTGCTCATCATCTGAATCTTCATCTTCATTCAACAGAAGGGGGTTTGGTGCAGGTGTTGGGAATACTGGATTAACTGCTACATCTTCTGTTGACTCAGGTGTTCTGTCATCTAAGTTGACTTCCTTGAGGGTCTCTGTTATATCTTCAACAGAGGTGCTATCATCAAACTTTACATGTATAGATTCTTCAACATGTAGAGTTCTTCTGTTGAGTACTCTATAGGCTTTGCTGGTGCTTGAGTAGCCCATGAATACACCTTCATCAGCTTTCTCTTGAAATACTTTTAGATGTTCCTTTCCATTATTCAGAATGTAGCACTTGCATCCAAATACATGAAAGTAATTGATGTTAGGTTACCTTCTTTTCCATAGTTCATAAGGAGTCTTCTGGTGATTTTTGTTGATCATGCTTCTGTTATGGGTATAGCATGCAGTGTTGATTGCTTCGGCCCAGTATCTCATTGGTAATGCTGATTCTGCAATCATTGTCCTTGCAGCTGCTTTCAACGTTCTGTTTCTCCTTTCTGCTACGCCATTCTGTTGAGGTGTTCTGGCGGCAGAGATTTGATGAAAGGTTCCATTTTGATCACAGAAGTCCTTAATGACTTGGTTGACAAATTCAGTCTTTATTAAAAAATTTATTAAAATTTGTGAAACAAATTTTAAGTATTTATTTAAAATTGATCGCAAATAATAATATGTGAGAATATTGGGTACAATCTCTAAATATGAATCTTCTGATTCTTCACTTTCAATTTGACATGAATATAATTAAAGAAATTAATTCAAAATTAAATCTTTAATCCTTCAAACGTTCGAACGTTCTTCAGATCTTCAAATCTCCGTTCTTGAGATCTTCGAATCTTCGAATCTTCGTTCGTCGGATCTTCAAATCTTCTTGAATTAAGAATTCAACTTGAAGGGCCTCCGGTTTTCAAGTGGCTTGATCTTCGACAAAGGGCCGTTTTATGGCTTGTTCTTTTTTTTTAAGGGCCTCCCGGGATATATGGCTTGATCTTCAATTGAATTTCAATTCAATCTTCATATGAAATCACGAAGGATTATCCATATATCTTCAAAGATTCGTTCTTCATATCTTCGAATCTTCAAAGTCTTGTTCTTCAGATCTTCGAATCTTCAAGCTTCGTTCTTCAGATCTTCGAACATTCTTCAACTTTTGGATCTATTTTATTAAAAATCGATGAAATCACGAAGGATTATTCATATATTCTTAATAAAATTCGTGGCTTGATCTATTCCTCTTCTTCAGAATCGTTCAGAGCCATAAATATTTAATAGCTAGAAATATCAGCACTTGTTTGATGTATCTGGACAGCTTTTTTAACAAGATTCGTAGCCATTTTTCATGCATACGGATGAATTTCTTAACCATATTCATTGCTCTCTTTATCAATTGGATCATGACTCTTATTGATTGGGCTACTATTTAATAATGGGCTCAAAATAAAGAAATTGATAGGACCAGTCATTCTTTTAAAGATTTAATTTATAATTAAATTAATTGGATATTTAAATGACCCAAATTAATTTAATCATTGCATTTTATCCGAACGGGACCATATTAATATTTTATAAGGCCCAACAACCATCACGAGCGGTCCAATAATCTAGCCCGGTAGCTTTTAAGAGCTCAATAACTATCATAGTTGACCCGGTAATTTTTATATGTCCACAAATGCCCCCTCGAGACTTGCTTGAGCATTTGAAGAAGGAAAAGTAAGTCTCAAAACAAGTGAACCAAATTATCTAATGGGCTCGAAATTGCTTGGGGCCTTGGCCTGCCAAGTTGGCCCAAGTGCCTAACCGATCTCTTAACCGATTCTTGTGGGCTGTGCCAATTGTACGCTACGCGAAATTCAGTACTACACCCCAATCAAAACTCCCATGTTCTTTTGGGACTCAAAATAGTAAGGAATACATCTCTTCTGGAATTTTTATACATATCAAACTCATACTTGGGGTAATTCTTCTTCGTACTTGCATTGTATTGAAACTGGAACCTTCTCAATACTTTATAAATAGAACTCGCCAGAAAATTACTTGTACAATATTGAGTTTACACAGCAGGCATAATCGATCCAGAGATATTTGGAACAGAGAAAAAAAATTCAAGGTAAACATAGCAGTAAGACTTATTATTGCATCTTCTTTTCTTTCTTTCTTTTCCTTGGTGCAGGTATAGCTTTGCCAATATTACTCGCCGAATGGAAGAAGAAGAACGTCAACATTCTAAATTCAAAATAAACCGTCGTCGTATCTGTTGTTTTATTTCGAAACCTTGCAGAGGCCATCATCCTGTTGCTGCCACTCCGTCCTCATTGTTGGTTTATGTCAAAATGTTCACCGAGAAGAAGAGAAGCAAAAGATGGATTCTTCGGATTTGATTTCACCTGCGTCAAGGAGGGAACGAGCTCGCCGTCCAAATCGTGGGAGTAGGTTCCGCATGCAGATCGGAAAGCCACCTTCACCAGAGAGAAAGAAGATGCCGCTTGTGCAGACTTGGCAAGAAGAAGGAGCTCCATTGGCGCTGATATTCTTGTGTTCGTGAAGGAGCACGGTTCATCCGAAGCTGCAGTGGTGCGGTTGCGTCGAGCTCACGGTCGAATTTCGGCGGAGGCCTGTGTAATCGGCAGCTGAGGTCGAGGTTGCTTTGCTACCGGTCAGAATTTTGTTGATGCGGTGGAAGGAGGTTTCAAAGAAGCAAAGCTGCTGCTGATTTCTTTTTATTACTCTCACTTTCGTCAAAGAGTTGATGAAAGATTGCATTTTGATCACAGAAGTTCCTCTGTCAGATCTGATTGTCCTGACTTTCATATTCTTCTCAGTCTGAAGTTGTTTTAACAGAGAGGGAAACTTCTGAAGAGTTTCATTTTTCTTTGACAAGAAGATTGCCCATGTATATCTAGAATAGTCATCAACCATGACTAATGTATATTTCTTTCCACCAACACTTGGAGTCTCAACTGGTCCAAATAAATCCATGTGGATAAAATTTAAAGGACTTGTGGAAAGATCTCCAGCAATGGGTTTGAAAGAGTTCTTCTGTTGTTTTCCCTTCTAGCATGCACGACAAAGGGTCTCTTTCTTGTATACTATGTCTGGCAGTCCATCAACAATGTGTTCTCTTGCGAGTTTGTTGATTGTTTTGAAATTCAAATGGCTAAGCTTCTTGTGCCAGTCCCAGCTTAGTTTTGAATCTCCCTTGGCTATCAGGCATACTCCATCTTTTGCAGTTTTCCAATCAACCACATAGATGTTCTTTTTCTTTGTTGCTGTAAGAACCACTGCCTTTGTTGTCTAATGCTTCACATAGCAGAAGTCCTTTGTGAATTCAACCGTGTAACCATTGTCACAGAATTGGCTAGCACTAAGCAGGTTGAACTTCAAGCCTTTGACATATGAGACATCATCAATGATTATCTGGTTCTTGATCAGCTTCCCTCTTCCTTTTGTTTGACCTTCTTTGTCATTACCTCCAAAGGTAACTCTAGGTCCTTTACATTTCTGGAACTCTGTTAGGCAACTTTTGTCACCCGTCATGTGCCTGGAGCATCCACTATCAATAAACCATTCTTGTTCAGAGATAGCTCCAGCACACAGTTCCTGCATGATCAAAAGAAAGATTTAGGTACCCAAGCAATGTTGGGTCCTAGGGGGTCATGGAGTCTAGGTAGTTGGTACCATTTTGGTCTCATCAAGTGAAACCTTGGTGGGTGGTACCCATTGTCCACCTGGTAGTCATAGTAAACAGAAATGTGATTCACTTTGGGCAGATGCTTGTGAGGATCATGCTTCCTGTTTACATACTTTTGCATAGCTTTCTTGGTTGGAAAGAAGTCCCATATACTATCAAGAACAGAGGGGCGGTTAGCTTTGGGCTTCTGATGTTGACAGCCAACCTCTTCTGCCTAAAGTTAACTTTCTCTGGATACTTGCCTTTCTGATGATCATTTCTAGCACGGTTATCATGAGGTTGTCTGTTGTGGGTTTGCCTTTGATTTTTCTGAAAACCTTTTCTGTTGTTAGGTTTTCTGCCAGGTTCATTTATTTTCATAATGGGTTTCTGCTGAACCTTTATCTTTCCCTTTTCTGGTCTAACTTCCTCATGAATAACTTTGGTGCTAGATACACCAGCATGGCAAATGGGGCTAGGAATCAGTGGCACTATGACCTTGTCTGCCTTAGCAACACTGGTGCTAGGCATTACAGAAGGCTCACCTGATTCTGTTGAGCCATATCTAAGACCAAAATCAATGCCATTCTGTTGGTCAAGTAGTAACCTTTCCATTGAGGACTGGGCCTTCTGGTAGGTGTTGTACTTGATCTCAACTGACTCTATTTCTCTTACTTTCTTTAGAAGAGAAACATTTTCAGCTTCCAGCTGATCTCTTTCTTTAATGAGAAGGTTGTTTTTATCTCAACCTCCTTTCTTAAATCAAGAATCTCAACCTTCAGCCTACTGTTTTCTTCTTTAACAGAGGAGTAAGTGGTTTGGATGGTCTTAAACTCTTTCCAAAATTATGACATTGAATCAGAATTGAAAGCTAAGCCTACCGAAGAAAAACAAGATGTACAAGTAGAGGTTACCTCATCATCAGAATGAGCCATGAGGCATAGGTCTTCTGTTTCGGTATCTAGGCAACAGAAGGCCTCATCAGAATCAGAATCAGAAGTGGATTCTGTCTCAGAAAGGGGGTCTTTCTCAAGCTGTTCTGTGACGAGTGCTTTCCTCCTTCTAGTATTTTCTTCATATTTCTTCTTCTCTCCATCATGTCCTTGTCTTTTGGACACCCTTGGATGAGGGCAATCTGCCTTGAAATGTCCAGGCTGTATGCAGTTATAACAGAGAAGCTCTCCACTGGTATCTGCAGACTTGGTCTTCTGGAATGGTTTTATGCTAGTAGATGGAATTCTCCCATCTTTGTGATTCTTCATAAACTTTTTGAATCTCCTGGCAAAGGCAGCCATATATTCGTCAGATAAAAGAATTGAAGGGTCAAAGTCATTTACCTTAGATGTACTGGCTGTGAGGGCTGTAGTTGTCCTCTCCTCTGGTACATCTTCCTTCTCTTCAATCATCTCGAACTCATGAGCTTTGAGGTCTGAGATGAGCTTGTCTGTGGGATAAGTTTTCACGTCCTTGCTAGCTTGAACAACAACCACCTTCATCTTCCATACTGAGGGAAGACCTCTCATCACTTTGAGGTTGATCTCCTTGGTGGTGAGTTCCTTGCCAAGTTCAGATATCTCTCCAGTGAGAGTAAGAAGCCTATCATACATCTTGGAGATTCTTTCACCAGGGAGAAGTTTGAAGTCATCAAACTTGTTGGTCCCGGTTATACTGGATACAGTCTAGAGGGGGGGTGAATAGACTGTATTGGTTTTTAGCTTTTTAAACTAAGTACCAGATTTTCAGAATAGCCTGTTCTGTTGAAAGAACAGACTGGCAGCGGATGGGGTTCTGGCAGGGAGTTCTGTTAGCCTCAGAGAAGCAAAGGCAGAAGGCCTTCTGTTAACTCGTAGAACCAGTTCTGCTGAACACAGATACCAAGTCCAAGGAGTTATACAGTTCTATCTAAGTGCAAGTATTAAAAGCAGTAAGTAAACGACACCAGGGATTTTTATAGTGGTTCAAGGAACAACTCGTTCCTCTAATCCACTGTTCCACTAAGCTGTAAAAACTGCCGTTTACAAAGCCTTAGTCCTAGCACTTAAGAAGCACTCCACGTCTTCTTCAAGTCTAGATGTGTCCTGGGATGCACTGCCTGGCTTCCTTTAACACTGGTCCTTTCACTGAGTCTCCTTGAAGTATCACCACTTCACTACTCCAGTTATTAGAAACTCTTCTTGTAGCAAGAAGAGTTTCTGTTGAAACTGAGGTTCCTCCAACTAGCTTCGTTACAAAATATGTGTATGTGAAGAGCTTGAAGAGTTGAAGAACACTTGGAACTTTGCTTGAGTTGGAAAGAGTATTTTTCCAACTTCTGCCTTCTCTTGTAGAGGATACTAAGTTTGAATCTCAAGGAGGCTTTTGCTTTTCAGAGTTTTAATATCTTGCTTGTGGTTAGCAAAGTTGTAGCAAAAATAATGTAGGCAAAGTTATCCGGTTGTTCTTCGTAGTGTATCTTTTATACTGAGGTTGTCTTCCCGTTGGAGGAGTAGGAGGACAACTGCATTAAATGAGCGATCAGTTGACTTGACTAGTAGAGCCCGGTAAGGTTGGCGGGTTACTATTTTGGGATAAAGTATTCCTGACATTCCGGCCAATCATCTGCAATTACTCTACGTAGCATGGGGTGCATTAAATGAGCATTTAATGCATGCACTGTAGCTTTTCCGTTTCATACTCCTAGCCGTTGAAGGAATCTTTAAGTTGACTTCCCGGTTCTTTGAAAAACTTCTAAGTGTCAGACCTTCTGGTGTCTTTGTCTGAGAGTAGAACAGAGGAGGTCTGGAGCACTTCTGTTGGGAGTATCCAACAGAGACCCAGAAGGGTTTCTGTCAGAGTCAATACTAACAGAGGTCCTGAGGACTTTTGTTCTGGAGCAGAGAACCAAAGGTCCTCTGTTTCAATAAAGCCTTAAGAGGCACTTCTGCTCTGGGAGCCCTTCTGTTCTTGAAGCACTTCTGCTCTTGAAGCACTTCTGTCAAGTCGAATACATCTAAGAATTTTACAAAGGAAAATTCTAATACATAATTTCTAAAGGGGTAATCTAAAGTCCTAATTAATATAGCATCATCAAAATCTAAATACAATTATTCCTTACAATTTCCCCCTTTTTGATGATGCCAAAACCCTTTAACTATTTCCAGAGAAGTGCCTTCACCATAAAAATATTAAGTTTAAAAACTTCCATTAAAATCTTGGTGGGCAACTTGGCATAGGAAAATAGTAAGAGTAAGATACATTCAGATAGCAGAATATAACAGAAATAAACAGACATAAACAGAAGGCAAAAAAAAGACAAGAATTTGAGGAAAAGCACTTCAAAGTAAGAAGGCAGAGATGTGATTTTATTAGATAGGTTTTACAGAGTTTAAACCTTACACATTCTCCAGATTAGCTGCCTGTAGAGCTTCTTCCTCTAGTCTTTGAAGCCTGAGCAGTTCTTCATTTATTTCAGCTCTGATTTTGAACAGATTGCCCGACCTTTGATAAGATGCCCATATTGGAGAGAGTTTGCAGTCCAAGTAGTTGAGGACACCTTCATGTAGGTCTTTCCAGGGACAATGTTCTTCTTGTACCATTCTTCTGCTTCTTCAAGAGATCCTCCATACCTAACTCTGACAACACCATCTTTGTCTAGATAAAGGTGCTGTTGTTGGGTAGGAGTCATTTTGGCTTTCATTTCCTCAAATTGGGCTCTGTCAATATTCTGAGAGCCACCCAATCTCCATTCAGTAAAGTTGAAAACTTTTTTCTTCTTGGTGCTCTTCTTGACTGGAGATGGGGGTCTTGGTATGCCTGCTGCCCTTTTCTTTTGTAAGGCAGCTTCAAAGTAGGGAGCCGGATCTACTGCAGGCTCACCAGAGGAGGGTGCTCTGGTAGGAGTTCTGTGAGACCTAGGCCTGGTCTGTTGAGGGTCCTCTTCCCCCTTTTTGGCATCATTCAAGTCTTCTATCATAAGACTGATCTTCTGGAATTCTGATGCTTGGGTTGAGGCTATCTGCTCCAGGGCCTCTGGTAATGTCTGAGTGACAGATGTAAGGCCTTCAATCAGACCTTGCTGCTTCTGGATTGCAGAGAAGATGTCCTTGTTGTTGGCTTCAAGGAGCACCATCTTCTGATACCGGTCTCTGTCAGTAGATAGAATGGCTTGAGCCTGTTCTTGATGAGCTCTGCACAGTTGCTCAATAGAGGTCAAGTGCTTCTCTGTTCTGGCATCAGATTTCTTCAGAGCCTCAAGATGCTCTGAGATATGGTGAATTGCCTGTCCTTGACTCAGGAGAGTCTGTTGAAAGATTGACAAAGTGTTGTGGATGCCTACCACTTCTGTTGACAGGACATCTGTTCTGGAAGTTGAGGAGGCGATGAAGTTGTTGAGTGTCCCAGTGAGGTTCTCAAAGCGGTCAGAGATGAACTGCATCCCTGAATTCAGATTGTCATTCACATGAGCAAGATGCCCATAGTGTTTGTCATTTATCTCTGTCAGCTTGTTCAAGCCTTGGAGGATCTGTCCTCCAAATTCTTCTG